GCCAGGGTCAGAACACCAAGGCGACTGCCTCTGGCCATTGCCACTGCCTTCGGCCATTGCCCATGGCATCATGCACCCGACTTGTATGGCTCTTCCTGCAAGTGGTGGACCTACAGGAAGGCAAACCCATGTTTGTCCTTCGGGCTGAGCCTGACTGGGCCCCATGGTTAGAGACCCGGTCACCAGGTGTCTGCCGACGAGCCCCTCTGCCAGGCTTGGCTCCAGGGTGGGGCTCCGGTAACCCACGTCAGGGCCAAGGACACTGAGTTCCTTGTTTTTTGTTTGTCCATAAAAGTCTTCTGAATTGTGTTCCCATTTTAAGTAGTTTTTGTTTACATTTATCATTCTTTTCTTCATGGCCCTGTTCTGATCGTTTAGCCTAACATTTAACATTCTGCAGACAAAGAAAGTCTGGACAATTGTCTACTGCAGGTAAGTTACCCACAGCTCAGTTTGTTTCCTTTTCAAAGTAGTTTTAGTTTATCTTTAAAGTAAAGTTGATAACATTTCAAAAGGATAAAAACTGAATTGAATAAAATGTCCCTGCTGTGTACTCTACTCACTTTAAAACATCCTCTTTGCATCACAGGGACCCTGTTTATGGTGAGTAAAGAGCAGGGGCATGTTGGGCCACTGCATGCTATATCCTGTGAGTTCAGTGCTGACAGCTGAGGGAGCAAGGCCTGAGGCTGGATCCGTTGAGTGGAGCTCTCCATCTGCTCCATGGTAGCATCTCTGCTGCTGCAGCATGAAACAGTCAAATATATTTCTTGCTTTAAGCTGAAAATTTCTGCCACAAATCTACAGGTACAAGCACTGTAAAACAGTGGTGGCATTTGATTAAATTTAAAAATCAAAAGGAATTTTGTCTATTTATGTATTGTCGGTGGTTATTAGAAGGCTATAAAGTAATTTGGTCCAATTCAAATGCAGCAATGTGTAGTCCAATTCACTGAGAGAGTCACATTTAGTACAGTTCACATCAATCTGTGTCCAATTTAAATGTAACAAACTCGGTTTCATGGGGTCAGCCCATTATGGGACTGCCACCAAAAGACGTTTTAAAGCTTTTTGGAAGAGGAATATTTTATACAGAGTGTCTGCCTTCTAAATGCACTTAGAGCCTGATAACTGAAGATTTGTAAACCTCTGGACACACAACCTGCAGTCTATAAAACACTCTATTAATAGGATTTCTTTAAGGTATGGAGCTGGGCGATCAAAAATATATATTTTGTGTGTGAAGTACTGTACATATCTAAACACATTTTTGATGCGTTTTGAAGGAGGCAAATTAAGATACGCTATGATGTCACCCAAAACTTCTTAGCTTTTGGTGCATTATTTTGCAATAGCTGGGGCAGTTTTTAACAAAAGATTTTGAGTGTCCTGAGTGGACTGGTTCTTCTGTCTCCCTTCACGATAGAACATTTTTAATTTAAGTTAAATTTGTGCAGGTGAATAAAGGAGCTTTAAGAAGCCTGCCTTTCCCATATGTGAGCGTAAAGGGCATGTTCTAGATAAAACTAACTCTAAAGTTGTAGGATAAGATATTGCCGGGCAAACAAGTCCAAGTACAATGCTAAACAGTTCCCTCTTTTGACAGCATTAAAAGTGCTGCCAAGCTGTATTCTACCTCTTCTGTTACAATTCTGGACAGAAATTCCGGTGCCTTTAATTCATTTTTAGAACAAATCCAATATTTTGCAACTTTGAAATATTCACCTTTTGTTATGAAAAATTGGATAAAAAGTTTTCCACTGAACCTTAAATTTGCTGCTGTCAGACATAACCTTTTCCTGTGGCCAGATTAGTTGTGTAAAGCTGCAAAAATAACAGACAAGACTGCAATCAGAGGCACTTTATATCCTTGGTAAAAAATTGATCAAGATAATGTAACGTTTGGCTTGCAATTTCTCTGCTACACTGACAGCTTGTGCTTTTAACTCCACTGCCTCTCAGTTTCCCAATACAATGGAAATTGACCCTATAGCCCAACCATAACATTCCAAGCTGCAATCAGCAAAAAGAAATACCCAGATAACCATGAATATTGATAAAGGGGCAGTAACTAATATTGGCCCGGTGCATTTATAACATTTTGCTCATTGCAGATGAGTAAACCATAACTTTAGGAGGGTAATGTTGAAATGCTGACAGTATTGTTCTTGTGTTCATCATGAACAAAGACATGAATGAGATGGTGGCACAAAAAGGAGGAAAATTATATTTTCTGTGACAGGGCCAGTTTAATGTAGCTGCAAACGGTCCTAAACTACTTCTCCCACTGTGAGTTTAAAATGCTTGTCTTTCATCTGGATGATGAAGGAAGTACAAAATAAGTGTTTTGCCATCTGCAATAAAATAAAACCTTTTTTTTATGGCTTGGGTATAGCTGAGTTGGGAGTGCACCTTGCTGTTCATCTCCTGCGTGCAAGTGTGAGCTGTCTGGTTGATGGCCATTATGGTTCTAGCTACTGCGTGTGCGTCTGCTCCACCGGGATCACTGAAGTGTTGGAACTAACAAGCCTGGGATGCAGACAGCGAATGCACAAATGGGATTTTGTCCTGAAAGCTTTAAAGTTTGCTCCCGGTTCTCGGAGGAAACAAGAGAGTGGATGTTACCAGTTTGCAGGGACTGTCTGCACCGTGCGCCAACAAAAATGGGATGATTACATCTGATGGTCCTGCTAATGATCTATATTGGGTGGGAAAGCCATAACATTAAATGAGCTATAGATTACACAGCTTTTACTCTTGTGTAATCTTTCTTTTTCTATTTTTCCCCACCGGGTCAATGCAGATTGTAAGTTCTCCACCTAAGAATATGTGTAATAATCCTTGTCAAGACTTAAACTCTCACCATGATGCGGGAGACTGACGCACATGCACATTAAAATGCTTTCTCCAAGTGTTTCTTTGGATGACTCTTAATGCAACTCTGCCTTTGTCTTCCTATTAGTCTTCCTCACATAGATACACCAAGAAGTAAACAATGGAGGCACTTCCAGTCTAAGGTTAGCACAGAATAAAAGATGTGTCATTGATGGAAGCGGCTTCTCCTTCATCACTGGCCTGTCACACCACGTTTGGGGACAACCCACTTCATTTTAGCAGCATAATGGATAAACAGAGTGTGATCGGTCCAATTACCCCCTCATTGCAGAGGCGTTCTGGCGGGAATGAGAGTTAGCTGTCTGGCAGGCGACGGAGTTGCAACAGTAGCACCTGCTGCCCAGAACCCTCACTTGTATGAATCTCAATTTGTTTGTACAGCCATGCCAAAAAGCAAAAGAGAAAAAAAAACTGCTGTGACCAAAAAGTGAAGCCTCTGAGGAGGCTGAAACCTCTGACTGGCCTTCTAAATGCTGTTTGTACTGCACTGCCTGTGAATGTAGGAAGATCAGAAGGTGCTTTTCTCAGCAGTAAACACAACACTGAGCATCAGATCTTCAGGTGGACTGTTTGTAGTTGGTTTCTGCTTGGATGATTCAAAAAATGGTCATTTCCCTCATCATTTTTGTCCAATAAAGTTGCCTCAGAGCTGGTTTAGACAAAGATAGTGGAGCCACAGAAGAGAATCACATTACAATTAATTTTTCTATCAGATAAAGACTAAGACAGAATTTTGGGCTTTTAATTTTATTATACGTGTGGCTGCAGTAGCTCAAGGATCAGTGCTGCATATTGTAATTATGAAGCTGTGGGTTCGAGCCCGGGTTGCATCAGGAAGAGCGTACACCACTAAACGATTGCACAATCTTTCAGGACAGTTTATTTGCAGTGGCAATCCCTGCCAGGGAACAGCTGAAAGAACAATAACCTTTATCATAACTGTCTTAACATGTACTCTAAATTAATGAGGTTCAGTTGATTTGATCTTGACATGACACTGCTTTCCTCATTTTTGGCAAAATATATGTAACACACAACATACAAGGTTAAATTCTTTGTTCCGCTTTTATGATGTTCTTGTTGTCCTTGAGGAAAGTGAAAATTTCCCCCTCTATGGTTGTCCCCTGGGGAGATGTCTGGCAGCTGACGCACATTTATCTACTGTATGTTTTAGTTCCTCGTTAACAAGCATCATAATAACTTTATTATTTTTTTCCTTTTCCTTTTTGTTAAGATGCTGACTTTCAATTTCTGCAACAAAACAGGAGCTCTGTCAGCAGGAAGTAGGAACTGCCTTGCAGGATTCATTTGGCACTGCTAATTGCAATTAATACCTTTCAAATAGCATATTGATTTTGAAGATGTTTGATTTTTCTGATGCTCACTGTAAAAAAAAATGAACAACTAATGGGAAATCTGAGTGAGTTTTTGTTTTTATTTTATTTTATTTTTTGCGGTCACAATTCATGAAGATATTATCAAACATTTTATAGACTAACTCGGTGTGCAGAAGGCCTGAACTATAAATGTGTTAATGGACATTTTTTTAGGGTCTTGCACACCTTCAGCACCCCCAGCTCAGTAAATTTCCAGCTTTATTAGAAGTCCAAATGAATTTCTCTAAATGTAGTCTGGCACACGCAGAGTTGACAGGTGAATCTGGTGGTGATTGATGCCAGCACAAGATGCTTCTCCCCTGTCGTGTTCCACAGAGTGAACGCAGTTATGCAAAGCACAAATTAGTTATTTATTTATTTTTGGTCGTCTCTTGAGTCCATCAAGCGCTCGTCTGGATAACTTTCGAAGGTTTACAGGAGCAAGAAAAGATGAATTAAAGCTAAGATCGTGGAATAATTTCAGGGTTTCAGTCCCCCCAACCCTCCCTGCTTCAGACCTCCTCGTGAGCTCTATAGTCTAACAGCTCCTGCAGTTCCTCTCCGTTGGCGCGCTCGCCTGATGCGCAGCGCCTCCCCAACTGATCCTTTCACTTTGACAAATACTTGGACGTGAGCGGGTCTGCTGAAGGACTTTCTGCTGGTGAAGATGATCCCCTGAATGTGTCTGACTTGAAGCAGCTTCGATCTTTTCATTTTTCACTCCTGAACTGAGCTTGGGAGCGCACAATGGCACTTTGGGCATTTTGGAGTGTTTTTCTTTTATCTTGCGCCACTTTTCACCTCAAGTTTGGGGCTCAAGCGGACATAACTTTTCACAGATCAGTCAACAGATTTGATCATTTGGATGTGGCTCAGCTGGAGGCTCGTTTTGCTAAAAACACAGCGGGGATCAAAGTCTCGCCTAATGTCGACAACAGAGATGAAGTTTTAAACTGGTTCAAAACGGAGGCAGCCGCCACTTTAAAGCCGAGCAGTGCGCTGGAAGAGAACCAAACAGTGAATAAGACACAGGTCGGCATCGAAGCAAACTATTCCAACGAGCTTCAAATGCCTGGGAAAAAGTGTGGTAACAGCACAACGGCGCGACCTGGAGAGAATAAACCACCAGAGCGCACAGTTTCTGTCAGGGGGAAGAAAATGAAAAGAAGCGTGGGCGCAGCGTACAACGACGACGTGGATAGGAGTTTAAGTGGAGAGGCGCAGTCACCAGAGAGGTCCGTGGAAAGTGTCCAAGGTGCTTCCAAGTCGAGAACCGAGTACAGGCGCGCTGGGGAAGAAGCCAGAGGGTCAAGCCCGAGGCAAAGTGAGCCGCACCTGGACACCTCGACTTTTGCCTTGTCGGGAGACTCGGCGCACAACCAGGCGATGGTGCACTGGTCCGGCCACAACAGCAGTGTGAGTTAAGAGTTTTTCAGAAACACAAACACACAAAGGAGTCATTAAAACACTTAAACCGTCCCTAATGTTTCTTTTATTATGATTTTTTGTGTGTAAAAAATTAAGCCTCCACGGTACCACGTTTTTACGCACGACTTTACGCACAGAAGGGCAATTTGAATAAACCTTTAAATCGAACATAGAGTGCATCCCTTCTCAGTTTTTACATTAATAATGTTTTCTGTCACTGCCTCCCTGCTTAGTGAGGGATATGATAAACAACATGCACACTGCGCGCCTGTGTGCACGATTTACCTGATTTATGTGGCTGTGCACTCACATTTTTCAAACCAGAGGGAGATTCATTTATTTCTACAAACTGTTAATCACATTAAATTCAAACTGATAGTTAACCTGCACTTAAACTTGACGTGATATCCAACTGTGGGAGGGATTTTGGCAGCAATCACAACACGTTAATTATTTATGAAAAGAAAAAAGAAGTCTCCCAGGAAGGTGTGGTAGCGACAATTAAAAGAGCTGTGCCCAACCTGACCCCTAATGTGATGCTGATGAAACACCACGTGACCTCTTAGCACACGAAACACACTTTTTGTAATTGACATTTTACTCATTTAAGAGCTAATTATTGAGGTGAAACATTGTTTTGTGTGATTCGTGTTAAAATGATGCCTCAGAATCAGCTCAGTAATTTTATTTAAGTTGAGCACATCTTTGATGCTTGACTCGACACTGCTGTATGCATCCACATTAATTCCACACACACACATCCCCCCCCCCACACACACACACACACACACATGGCTTGTGCATGCACACAAATTTTACCTTCACAGGGATAAAGCCAAGGAGATTTTAATCTTTAAATATTCAGCATTCAAACATGTTTGCAAGTGCTCACATTTATCAGGTGTGAAGATCTCCAAACTACAAACAGCCTTGGACAAAAGAAACACGCTGCTCTGGTTTTTTCACTTCAGGTAATTTAGTTAAAAGAATGTAGCAGAAACATTAAAAAAAATTCCTGTGGCCCAGTAAAGATGAAAAGAAAGAAAGAAAGAAGAAGACGATGCATATATAGAGTCCAATATAATATATTGGCTGGTTTGGATAATTCCATCTTTAATTGCTTTCCTTATCTGTTCCATTTTCAGTTTTATGGTGCACATTAGAATGTTGGAGGCATTGCAGACTTTCAGTTATGTCGATGTGTTATCGAAGACAGGCCAGATATGCGCCTCATAAAATCTCATATGTGAGCTGTGTGGTGAAATATGTGGTTGGTTTAAGATGTCTTTGCCATCGATAGCCTTTTGTGCAGCAGAACAGTGTTCACTGGATCATCTCTGATGGGCTTGTCACCACAGCCAGTCAACATTTGAGATTTATATAGTCTGGACTCCAGTCTGTGGTCCCGAAAGTACGAGTGAAAACTGCCGAGCTTAAATTTATGGGTTAGAGCTCAGGCTATATTAGATGTAAATGACTGATAATAAATTCAATCTTAAAGGGACGTTTGAAGGAAAATTACTTCTGGCCTGTGGTCTAGGGCTGTTCTATCAAATTTTCACTCCAAGACATGGCCTGTGATTTGGCCAGTATGTCACATCCCACAAGAAGAAAAATGAGAAAGATGTCGAAGGTGATGGTGAAAGTGCCAGCAGGGGATCTCCTTAGTTCAGATTTGATAAAAAAATTTTTATATAAAACATCATCGTCTGAAGCCTCAATTCTGTCCACGAGCCAGTCTCCCAATGATCATTTGATTTCTGGGATTGTCTTAGACATCAAAGCCTGAAGTCATGGCCCCCTGGCCTCCAACTTTAAGAGAGATAACATCGATTGGGCTCAACCAAGGGAATAAAACATACACCCCACCAAAATCCTTCTTAAATTCATGATTCTTAACTGCATGTATTGATTGGCAGCGCATGTCTATTTCTACTTAAATCTGACTTGAATATGAATGATGATATATAACGACTCATGATAGTGCCTTAAAATCTAACTGATTAAGAAAACGAACAAACAGCTGAGTATGTTAGTGCATGGCAAATCGATATTTAAGTCCTTCACCTCACGTGAGCACTCAAGCTGTGGTATGACTATGATGATAATCTTTTTAAAGAGCTGTTGCAGCACAACCTACACTCTAGGGATGCCGAGCCCTCCCTGTTTGAAGGCAGAAATCCTAAGCAGCTGATGAGCAGAGAGGTTATTGGCAGCCAAATGATTCTGGATTCCTGATTGACCATTTTTTGCAAGCTCCTCACAGACAGCTCATCAAACCAGAGCAATGCACTGGAGCTGAGGACAATAATGAGCATCTCTATTGACAACACATCGCCAAAGCTTCTGCTACATGTCAGTGTAAATAATGTTCCTGTGGCGTGAGCGTAAAGGTTTGGTTATCCATTCTGGCCCACTGCTGGACACTTGCTTTAGGCGGGGCCAGACACTGATGAAGCTTGCTCTTTTTTTCTGAGGTGCCAATAGTCAAACTGAACTGTCAGCTTTGCCATAACATTTTTTTGCTATGACTGACTGAGAGTCGAATCGGCCTCCTGGGTCGTGTTGTCAAAATGCTTAATCAAAGCGAGGCCATTATTGTTGCACATAATCTCATTCGTATAAATAGACAATAAAAAAGAGGAAATGACATGGCCCAGGGGGACACCTGTGTTTCAAAGCGGTTCATCACATAGACAGCTATTCCATTTAATATGCCAGAAATTCATTGATCCATAAAATCAAATAGAATGAGTCCCCAATTCACAGAGGTGTTTGACTGTTATAGGATGATGAGAAGAGCTTCAGAGTTATCACTGGTGGTGTTCAGGCCCTGCAAAGTGAAAAGTTTCAGTTTTTTTTAATTACCGTAAATTTCACCGTATAAATCGCAGTTTTTTTGCATAAATTAGCATGCCTGCAACTTACACAGTGAAGCGACGTATTTATGTTTTTTTCTCATATTTATAACCCAATTTTTGGCTGAGATCTGACTATTTCATTCTTTCTGACATGGAAAATATTGAACACTACCATTTTCAGCCACTAGAGGGCCCTCAACTAATATTCAAAGCCAAGTGTCTCATTAATAGGTAAAAGTGTCTATTAATGAGACACCTGGCTTGCCATACCAAGCCAGCTTTGTCTCGCTCCGGAACTCCTGGCGCAAATGTCAAATCAGCTGCATTTAGCCGCTCCGCCCAGGTGAAATGCAACTGATTTGACCATTAAAGTGCATTTATTAAGGAAAATTTAATCTGAGCTGCACCTTTGCTGTAATTTCGAGCAAACAAATAATTGTTTTTGTGTTAATCTTGTTAAATTCTTGTTAAAGTCCTCCCGTGCACACTCTTGCGACCACCATTTGGCAACCAATCGATTTTTGGTACAACACCGGCCCACATTTCCGGGTTGTCAGTAGTGACGCATAACAAATGTGACGCACCATCGGTGACGCATAATAGATGTGACTTATACGGCGAAGCGACTTATTTATGTTTTTTTCCCACTTTATTAGACATAAACTGCTGTGACTTAAACGCCGGTGCGATGTGTACTGCGACAAGTACGGTATTATTGTGGTTTTTTTAAGCTTTGCAAAAAGTTTTTTTGTTTTACTATCAACATTTAGTAAAAAAAAAAAAAAAAGTTTTGATATTTAGTCTGAGGTGTTGATAGGTTATAAAGCTTTTGATTCATGAACTTTTTATCATCCTCTGACCCCCTGCTTGGTATCTGAGGGGATTTCGATCCATGTTATGCTTGATGAAAATAAAAAATCAGGTTTATATCACACTTGAGTACAAATTAGTTCCCCCCTGTGCCACGCTTTGTGTTAAATTTCCATGCAGAATTTCAACCCCTTGGGAGTTTTTTTCATTTTTTTAATCATCTTTTGGCTGATGGTGGTTAGATTTTTTTAAAGATTAATTTAAAAGTTTTAACCAGTGGAGTAAAAACTAATCAACATATTTTTAAGCAGGCTTGTCCTCAACCTGTTTGTCCCTTTTAGGTCTTCATTAATCACGCCTGTTTGCAGCCTTTGGCGTGCACTGTCCACCGATGTGATTGTAAGATGCTGACAGAAACTGCAGCTGTGTGCTGCACGGGGCTCACATCCGTTCAGTGTGGCCACAGCACAGGAGGATGCGTCCTTTGCTGAGATTGTTTCCACTTTGCTGCAATAACTTGAACAGTTGCAATGGATGTTTTTATGTGAAGCAGTTTGCAGGATTATTGCCTGCCGCTGACAGGAAAGGCAAGCGATAATGTTTTTGCATGAGTCTTTGTGTAGGTTTTTGTGTATGTGTTTGTTTCCATATCTCAGTCATTTTCACAGATATAGACCTAAAATTTGGCATGGTAGTAACTGACTGTCATTCGATTGACCATATTTGTTATTTTCAAGGTTGGACTAAAACAACCATAAAATGGTTTTAGTTTAAAACTAAAGGTTGTTCTTATGATAAGTTACTGTAAACAGTCAACTCATAAAAACAACAATTAGCTGAAAGACCAGCCATATCATGTTCTGCTGCCTAGAAATATCAAACTTACTTTTTATGAGTTTTATTTTGGCCCCAATATTGTGATGAGTATTTTGAAGAAATACTATTGGAGCATTAGCCAAGTCTGCAATGTAAATATTCCTCAAGTTCAAGTAGGTTTTATTATCATTCACATCACATGTGATACATAAGATGGGACAAAATTGTTTACGCAGGGTCCCAGTTACATCCAACAACAGCAAAATATAAATTGTAAAAAGAAACAGTAATAAGGATCTAAGACATGGGTGTCAAACTCACTTACAGTAGGGGGCCAAAATTAAAAACTTTTCCAAACTAAGGGCCAATTTCAGAAACTGCATTAACTCAAATCAGATACCAAACATCTTTTCTTGATCACAGGTTCCTCAACAAGAGTTTGATTGGTAGCATTTGATGCTCTCTGTTGTGCTTTTAACATCATAATCAAAGATTACTGAA